CTAATGTCACATAAATTTGTGGCATAGCTGAAAGGAGCATCAGACTTCTCACAGTTAAAACGATTTCAGCCACAGCCTGGGTCTGGACCTGGACCTGGACATGGACATGGTCATGTGCGCGTCCAAGTGGCAACGCCTATTTGAGCCGTAATTAAGTTAAACGCTGTCGCAAGCACCAAAAGATTGATGTCGCCTTTGTCTTGGGACGGCAGGTCGTGGCTCACAGGGCTTTTAGCTGGTTAAATGGCTGTCAAATAGTAAATATGCCTGAATTATTAGCTAGCCTGGCGGCAATTGGACATGCGCATGCCCCAGAGCCTGGGAACGAACGCGGCGCATTCCAACGGCAGATGATTGTCAACAGCCGCGTGTTGTTGTTGTTGTTGTTTTTTTTTTTTTGACTAAAAGGCGGCGCTTGCGCACAGTGGTGCATGTTAATTTGCTAATTGCCAAATGACAAACGAAAATAAATATAAAGAAGGTGCCAAAAAGCAGCGTGCGACGCCCGCCCACGTTGAGCTCGAGCTCGCGCAGTTCCGTGCCGCACCCACCAGACCAAATCTGAGCTGACTCTAACTCATGCCAACACCTTTTTGGTGGCATTTGCCGCCGACTGCCTGGCTGACTGCCTGGCTGACTGCCTGGCTAATCAATTGTCAACGCCGCCGCCCACATCAAACGCTGCCAACCCCAACCGAAACCGCTCCAACTGCGGCTGCTGCTGCTGCAGCGGCTACCCCTTTGTCCGACTGTGTGCACAAGAGATCAGCACTTGCGCTGAGGCATTCTGTGGACAAATATTTGAGCGCGTAAATTGAAAACTGACCAGCCACAACAGCACTTGACTTGGCAGTGGCCAACGCGGCCCGCAAGACGCGGCCCAAACGCGATCTGTTGACCAACTGAGCGAGCGAACGGCCATTCATTCAGTTGTCAACGCTTTGTTTAAATACTTTGCCACTCGCTTGTTGACAAGTGGTTTAAGTCGTTGATTTGTTTACACAGCAACGCACTCGGCGCAGTCAGTGGCACCTCGAAACGGCCCCGGGCCGGCGGGGGGCCACGGCGACGGCGACTCACGAAAATGAGTCAATCAAACGAAGCTGCATCCATTGTGAATGTCTATTTAAATAGAAAATAAGAGGGAAAAGTATATAAAACGAAGCGTTGCCGAATTTCATATACCCTGTAAAAAATGCAAAATTAAAAAAATATAATTTTTTTATTTGGCCTGCAAATTTGGCTATATGAGAACTTGAAAATAATCTAAAAGAAATTTAATTCATTGAAAATAATAATATATATATTATAAATTATAATAATCATAATTTCTAATTATTTTCTAATATTTTTTATATTTAAAATATCAATTTTTTTTGTGAAGAGAAAAAATTTTCTAAATATTTAAATTGTTTAAAATGTTTCTGATTCTTCTCACTGATTGAGAATATCTATGAAAATTCTTATTATTATATAGACATATCTGACAAGCATTATCCTATAGCCTAACATACTTTGCAGTTAGTGTATCTCACAGCTGAGAGCACTGGACTATGGCTGAGATTGGCGTGGCTTAGGGTTGGGTATGGGAAATTTCAACCACTTGTCAGTGGCTACCATCAAACCGGGCACTTTGATCAAAGAAAAAAATCACTGAAAATCCATTGAGGCCTATAACGACACCAACAACAGCAGCAACAGCAACAGCAACAGCAACAACAAACTGCAATAGGGGCACACTTGGAGTCGCTTCTCTTGGCTGTGTGAAAGCAAAATAAAGATACGTCGCGGCCAAGTGTTGCCTGTTGCCAGTTGCCAGTTGCCAGTTGCCAGTTGTGAGTTGCCTGGACTGGGACCTGGGACTGAGGCAGACTGAAGTTGTTTAGTTGTTTCAAGTTGCCGACAGCTGCGCTGCTGGCGTCGCTGCATGCTGCCAACTGCTGCTGCTGCGGCTGCTGCTCTGGCTGCTGGCAGGCAAACTTCAACTTCAAAAACCAAAAAGTGTCGAACGAGTTGGCCACATCGGCAGCATCATCGTCATATCGGCCTCGGCTATTTTCCGCTTAACCAAAACTCCCCGTGTTTGTTGTTGTTAGTATTTAATATTGTTGTTTTTGTTGTTGTTGTCTGTTGGCAACTGGCAACTTGTGTGGTTACGCGCTCTGCACGCTTGAAAGGTGTTTGAGTTTGAGTTCTTTAGATCTCTCCAGTCATCAGCGCATCGACTTCGAGATCCAAATCATTGCGATCTCATCATCATCATCGTCCTCATAATGATCATCATCATTGCTCGCCAGCCAACTTCAATTGTTTTTAGCTTAGTGTTGCTGTTGCTGTTGTTGTTGTTGTGTTTACAAGCGCGTCTATCATTTATGCTCATTTCTGTTTGACTTTTGGCGGCCCAGCGTTCACTTGATGTTGTTGCAGCTCATCTATATGTGGCGTAGAGCTGTGCGCGTGTGCGTGTGCCTGCTCTATTTGTTTTCGAGTTTTTGTAGCTATTAAGTTGTCATAATCTCACTTGGCTCGCATCGAGATCGAGTGATTGCCGCAGGCACAGCAATAGCCAAAGATAGAGATGGAGCAGTTGATAGGAAGGCACGACAGAGACAAGGGCAAGGCCCACCAGGTGGGCACATACGCTATCCAGGTGGGCAAATTTTTGGGGCATCCAATCGGCTCAAGTGTGCGCTATATGGGAAATATGTGCTGAAATAGAAATGGATTAGATTTAGTGAGCTGCTCGCATTGGCTGATCACATTTGAAGTCGTTGATGTTTAGCGAGAATTGGCTGAAAGTTCATGAACTGGCTGAAGGATATATAAGAGCCATAAGAGATATTTCTATATAAATATATATGTATTTATATATAAGATATTTATATATCAGGGTTGAATGCTTTTGAGCAAATGAAACAGACAGAAACTGATATTGCAGAGCCCATAAAGTTTATATTTTGTTGATCAAAACGGGGAGCTGAGTCGTTCATAATCAATAAAATATATCATTTCTTTTCGATAACTTGTGACATTCTGTCGTTTATATAAAAGGTTAATATTTTAGCTTGAGATCAAATAGCATATCGAAATGAATACAAAGTTTTGGAAACAGCAGCTTTGCCTAGAGTTCCAGGTATCTTCGCGCTAAATGCTCTCTTACTTGTTTTATAAATTATTTATTATTAATTTTCTTAATTTCTAATATTTAATTATTATAATTTTGTAATTTTTTTAAGCATTTTCGGCATCAAATTTGCATTGGTTAATTTGAATTATTTCGTTATTTTATCTTCTTGAAATTATAACTTGCAAAAGTAAAATTTCTTTGGATATAGACTCAAATACTTTTTTTTAAATGTTTATCTATAATATATAAGATATTTATATATAATATATCTTCTGCTAACAGGGCAATGTCACTATTCAAACAACATATTCAATTTTTGTTATATGTCCCATAAGTTGTTAATATTATTCACAAACAATGAGTAATTAGGCAACATTTTCGTTGCACTGCAGTTCTGCCAGAGTTGGCCTAGTCACTGAAAGTGAGTTTGTTGAGTTTACCAGAATTGGTGAACGATAAGCCAAATGGAGGAATAGCTGTGATAAGTCGAAAGGGCTTGGCTATATGGCCGTATCAGCAGTTTGTCATCAATGCATAGCTTTGATGGCTGTGGAGGGTCTAGCTCATTTTGAAGTTGCCGATTTGGGCTGACTCAGCTGCTGCTGCTGCTGCTGCTAAGCGCTGTAAATTGGCACATTAATTGTTGAAAACAACGCAAATTTCTTGAAACAATAGCAGCAGAGGAAGATAGAGAGTGCGACAGAGACAGCGAGCCGGAGATAGAGCGTTGGCCGCACATCAATCAGAGACTCGAATCCGTCCCTCAGTAGCTGACTGTAGCATATAAAAGGCTGCGAATGCCTTTGGTTAATCCGGCTCCCCTCAAAAAACATAAACTTGCAACTTAAATTGCGCAAAGTTCACGAGCAAAGCAAATTTCACGCGAATGTGCAACAACAACAACAAAAAGAACGAAAAACAATTGAGCTATTAAAAAGTCATAAATCTGAAATGGAAAAACATAAATCAGCGCCAAAGGCGCGCACACAAAAACAATTTAAACGCCGCTGCCATCGCCGCCACCTCCACCCAGTGGCTCACACATATGAAGAAGGCAATTGGGGGAGTTGCGGGTGCGGGTGGTGCAACACCCGAACCCGTGGGCAACTGCTGCCCTGCAGCGACGCATGCTCAACGGCGGCTGCACCCACATTGTACGCTGCCCGTAATTATTAATTTTCCAGCTAAATTAAATTTTAACGCTGCTGCTCCAAATGGCATTCAAAATGAAAACGAAAATTGCATCGATTGAAAAAATTGCTTGGAAAAAAAAGACGGGAAAAATCATGTGGGTGCTGTGGGCTGATGTGTGTGTGTGTGTGTGCGTGTGTGTGTGGGGCCAGAATTTTATTGAGCGCCGCCGCTTCGCTTATAACAATAAACAAACCAATTGCCAACTGTGACTGTGACTGTGCCTCTGTCTGTGCCTGTGTCTGTGCTGTGTGGGAAGTGTATATATACATGCGAGTGGCCGGACTATCAGCGTGTGCTGCGCCATATTGCGCATACGCCGCATCGGCCGCACTGCAAAAGCTATTTAGTTCAACTGCCGCACTATTTAGACGCCGCATTTGCCTTATTCTAAGCAAATAAACGAAACTTTTTAGCTGCCAGCATAAATAAATGCAACTATTTTTAATGAACTTGCCTGCCAAGTGACGTGGGCAAAGATTCTTTCCAAATTCGTGGCGCCACTCGCAGCTTTCTGGCGCAAAGCTTTTCAGTTCCTCATTTCTGAACACGATGACAACGTGAGGATTGTCAAATTCAAATACAAATAACATTGGCCACTTAATTATTTATGCAAACGCTCATTTCCCATTATCTTAATTGATATTGCAAATAATTTGTACTTTTATTTTGCATATTCTAGGGCCGAGGGCACGAACATTTTACTCGATCCAAATCTAATGTGCAAAAAGACGCGACGTCTGCGCGGCAAGCTGGCAGACATCTGCCGGCACGACTCGGCGCTGCTTAAAGAGATCATCAATGGGATTAACCTGGGCTTCCGCGAATGCGAGTTTCAGTTTCGCAATCGTCGCTGGAACTGCACGGTGCTGCGCAAAAGCATGAGGAAAATCTTAATGCGCGGTAAGTGGAGAGTCGGGCTAGCTGACTAAATGCTATCCACTAGATACAGATACATGTGCTTAGATGCAGCGGGCGACAAAGGCCAGGCCTGTCAACACTTGCTGACTCAGAGTGCGGCTCTCCAGGGCGAGCGAAAGAGTTGCTGCCTAATTACAGCTGAAGTCTTCGAGGCTGGCGAAGTGTCAGGCGATCGGCGACCGGCGATCGGCGACCGGCGAACGGCGACCGCATCATCCATCAAGTTGCATAATAAAAATGTTGCGCCCGCTGATGAATAGCGCCTGAAATGAGCCTACAAAGCTGTCAATTTTAATAAATTATTGCCCGAAATGCTGAAAAGGCAGCCTGCTCCTTGCTGCCGCTGCTGCTGCTGTACTTAATGACAACAATGCGCAAACAAAACACATACCAAATTATCTGCAATAAATTCCATTTCAGCGGATTAAAACTGCGTCCCTGTCAAGCTGTCAGCCAGCGAGAAGGAAGCCTCTCGCTTCCCCATGCCATGCTGATGATGGCCATGTAATGCCGTTGCCCATTTGGGGTGGTGACTGTCCGAAAAGACATATCACCTGTCCACATCGCTCCGATCCACTTCACTCCACAGCGCTCGCATTACATATGCAAATCGTTGGCCGATGTGGTGCGATTACAACTGCGATTTCGATTTCATTAAACGTGACTGCTCGAATCGACTCGACTCGCCTCGACTCACTCGCTGCATTTGCATAGAGAGTAATCAGCGATCGGTTATCGAGGCGGGCAATAAATCATTTTGTCACCAAAGCTGACAAATTGACATCAATCATGCGACGACCCGCTAGCTGACAACCCCAATCAGCATTAGCAGCATGTCTAAATAAACGATTAATTATCGATCTTTGACACCGCAACGTTAATCGTCGCCTAAAACAGCGCCTAAATCAATTAAATGTCAATTAATGCCGCAGATATGCATGCTAAGCACAAGCATTTACTTGCCTTTGCGCACTTGGCCTCAGCAAACTGGTTGGGGCGTTCGTGAGCAAAACGTTTGCCAGGCTAACTTGCAGCGCTAAATTGTTATATCACATCGTACCTTAGTTAGTCTTAGCTCTATAAGTAAGAAATATTTCTCTTGTAGAAGTTGTCCATTTCGGGAACATTTTTGTTACTATATTCCTTCAAGCTTACCTATATATATTTACCTATATATACTATTGTTCTCGTACCTTTTATCCTTAACTGCTGCTGCCTTTCCCATCTTCACGCACAGATTCTCGTGAGACGGGCTTTGTGAATGCCATAACGGCGGCGGGCGTTACCTATGCGGTCACCAAGGCCTGCACCATGGGTCAGCTGGTGGAGTGCTCCTGCGACAAGTCTCATGTGCGCCGCAATGGTGGCCAGCCGCAAATGGTGAATGCAGCCACGGCGGAGGCAGCGCTCGAGCGGCAGCAGCAGGCGGCAATGCTGCGGCAACATCAGCTGCCACATCGCAGCCACAACAACAGCAATAGCAACAGCATGACGGATCTTTCACTGGACAGACAACGCAGCGGGCATCGACAGGGTGGCCGGCGAGGACGGCGCAAGTTCTGGGACAACATCAAGTTTCCGTCGGGCGAGTGGGAGTGGGGCGGCTGCAGCGACAATGTGAACTTCGGGCTGCGACACTCGCGCGCCTTCCTCGACGCCAAGCAGCGGCAGCGGCGCAGCGATCTGGGCACACTGGTCAAGCTGCACAACAACAATGCCGGGCGTTTGGTAAGCAGCTCAGCACTTACAAGGCTTCTATGGGCAGGCCTAGAAGTAAACAGTTATAGTTCCTTCTTTGAAACGTATTCATAAAATGATCGTCTGACTAAACTCCTCAGCATTCAGATTTGCAAATCTCTAAACTTTCTTTCCATCTCTTTGCACACTTTCAGGCGATTCGCGATGCGATGCGCTTGGAGTGCAAATGCCATGGATTGTCCGGGTCGTGCACGGTGAAAACCTGCTGGCTGAAGATGCCGCCGTTTCGTGAGATATCGGCACGACTGCGCGATAGATACGATGGGGCGCGCAAGGTGGCGCTACGGAACGATGGCAATAGCTTCATGCCGGAGACGCCGCACACGAAGCCGGCGAACAAATATCAGCTGGTCTATGCTGATGATTCGGCAGACTTTTGCACAGCGAACCCAAAGACCGGAGCGCTGGGCACACAGGACAGGGAATGCAATGCCACATCGTCGGGCCCCGACAGCTGCGATGCGCTCTGCTGTAGTCGGGGGCACAAGCATCGCGTGGTTACCGAGTGGACCAACTGCAACTGCGTCTTCAAATGGTGCTGCGAGGTGACGTGCGAGAAGTGCCTGGAGCATCGCGAGGTCAACACCTGCCTCTAGACGGGCGCACCGGGGTACGGGTATTTTTGGTTTTTGGGGTTTCAGTTTCGGCATAGTCATGAACACATTTGAAAGCTTTCCATTTCGCGTGATAAACAACAGTTTGAAACACACAACGTTTTGCTGCAGTCCACACTTAAGTATTAACTAACACTAGAGAGTATATATACATAAAAAAACACTACGTAAACGAGTTTTAGCCAGGCGCTAGGCCAAACTAGCTGTAAATACTACTTATATATCCTCAATCGTATGAACCATGTAAGCTTGTAAATAGTCTTAATAAAAAGAGAGAAAAACAAACTAAATATTTTTTATTTCTAATGCTTAACTCGAGAGAAGCTTGTGTAGCCTTTCATTCAATATTAAATTAAATTTTTTATATTAAAAAAAAAAATGCTAAGATAATGCAAGTAGAAGAGATAAGCAAGAAGAGTTTCCATGAAATATGTTTCAATAAATGATGTTACTTTTACTTAACAATAAAATATCATCTAACAAATTTTAGCTCTGCTGCTTAGCTCTACTTCTTATAGCTTATATACATTCTACGCCTTATAAGATTCTATTTTATTGACCAGTCTCATCTCTATTGGTTGGGCAGTCAGTTTAGTGTATTTCAATTAATTGCAACAAATTGAATATCAAAGCAGGTAAAATGAAATAAACTTTGGCTTTATGCTAAACGGAAATGTATCTTAAATCGCTTTGCCCATTGATTGAAATCTGCATAAATGATTAAACGTAATTTAATGAAGACAACAGCAAAAACCGATTGAAAAACAAGTTCAGCTTCGATTAGCTTTGGCTACGACAACTGTATCTGTATCTGTATCTGTAGCTGTAGCCATTCACGAACATTGTCAACTAACAGTAGCGCGTATCTGTATCTATATCTGTATCTCTGTGCCAGACCAGTGACTTTCCCATAAATTAACACAATTTTATTGTTGTCGACACGAGATAAAAATCTACAGAAATTTGCCTAAACAGCAACAAAACAAAAATCGCATCCGAACAAAAAACTGAAAATTGATTTGGCTCCGTGCATAAATTATCGTTCGATTGTTCGTTCATTGATTTGAATGCATAATTTCAAAAATCAAACAGATGTCGTTTAATGCATGTAATTAAAACTAGCAACAAGCCCACAAAAGCGCTTGACATTAAAGTTAACTTTTAATAAGGCTGAGCGGCTTTAAGGCAATTTCATTTTTAATGAGACATTTGATTTGGCCATTGTGAGTTAAAAGTTAAATTTCTATTGGTATTTAATTTATTTATATTATTATTAGTATAGTAATTATTATTATTACTTTCATTATTTATTATTTTTATTATTTATATTTTTATTTTTAATTTTTATTCAAATAATATTTTCTTTTAATAATTATTCCATCCACAATCTTTAGCAGCAATATCTTTTCTTAGTTGAGATACCATTTGTGACTTCTTCGTTCATAAGAAGCTGCACCTTATACTCAAGTTAACCCGCTCCAAGCACAATCGCCAAAGAACTGCAGCTCAACTATTTCCAGTTGATAATCTGAGCTTAGCATCCCCAGTTGAAAGCTGGCTTAAAGTCTGATATTCGAACAACGCGAAGCCAAAAGATGCCCAGCATGCCTGAATTCCATTCCATTTGCCTACTGACTGGGCCAGGTCAATCTCGGAGAAAAACAAGCCCATGCCAGCGATAAGATACAACGGCGGCAGCGGCAGCAGCAGCAGCAGCAGCAACAGCCTCTTTGGCTCTACAGCAACAACTAATTAACAATCGCATTCATTTTATTTATCGTACAAATGCAAACCGCTTGACTTCCAAAACTGTATCTGCATGCATTTATAAGGCTCGAATGGGATCAGTTCCAAGCTGAGTCGCGTCTGCGGCCTGGTCGATCGACCGATCGGATCGCATCGGATCGCATCGCATCGCATCGTACACTTGACTGAACAAAATGTATGGTGAGATACTCGTGTCGCCTGGGGTCCGCTCAGATATACAGATTCAGTGGCTTTATCTTGGGCGCGTTAATGAGATTTGCTTGTATCTGGAGCCATTCGGTAGATGCGTATCAGTGGGTTTCAATTAATTGTGGCGACGCTTATTAGTCATCCATCTAACAAACTAAACTGGCGCTGGGCCTGGCGCTGGCGCTCTGAAAATCTCAACATCTCTTTCCCTCTCTCTCTGTCTTTCTCTACACATATACTCACCTAGTGCTATGCCAATGACCCCAAGCTGACCTTGGCCAATGGGCAGCTTCCCCAACTCCGTCGCTCGTTCGCTTCTGTTCTTCCGCTCAGCTGCTTAGCTGCTTAGCTGCTCAGCTGGCTTATAAATGTGCATTTTATGTTAATAAAAAATGCATTTTTATGCCGTTTCTAGATCAAAGTTCTTTTCGGCGGCTTCTTTTGTTTCAAGTGGCGCTTAAAATGGCGCCAGATATAACCAAGCTTAGTCAAACAAAGCAAAAACTTTCCCATAATGGCTCAATTTTTAAGTTGTTACACCTACTGCATTGATGCGAAGGACTGCCTATGCCAGATATCAGAGACGCTGATCACTGCAAACAATTTTTAGCCAAATTGCAGTCAAAGTCCAGTGAGCCAGAGCCAGAGCCAGAGCCTGAGTCGGAGCAAGAGAAAGACAGAGAGAGCAAGATGGAAAAGATGTGCAGACGGGGCGCTAAAAGAACAACTATTAAGACCGCTCGAGAGACGTCTACCGGAGAATAAAACCTGAAACATGAAATTCCTGCGTAATTTGTAAGGAAAGGCGTGAAGAACACCAACGAAGGCAACACCTTAATTAATGTTATTAAAATGGAACGAACGACCGACGGACCTGGCGATTGGACCTGGACCTCAAACTCGAACGCAAACGCAAACTAAAACCGAGCTCAAGACCTGCGACTGGAACCCATTTCGACTGCAGGTCCAGGCGCAAAAAAGAAGGCAGACGCAGAGAGAAAGAGTGAGATGGAGAGAGAGAGAGAGACTGAGAGGAGAATGTGGCAAAAGGGAAAAAGGTTCGGACCTGGTCCGCTTGATCGGTTCGTTTTTGGGCTGCTTCGCTTGCAGCTCACTCCTCAATCGCTTTGACCATGCACGTTCCGGTCGAATGGGACTGAGAATGGGAATGGACATGGGCATGGGCATGGGCATGGGCATGGGGTATGGGAAATGACCTGTTGTCTTTATTTGGGGCTTGGCCTGCACTAAACGTTCGGTAAGAGTTTATTGGAAAGTAGCCGAAACTGTTGCACTTGGCCAGCCCCCTAGGCGCAGTCAGTGTTAATTTCTTAGCTATTAAAGAACTCGAGCGTATATGTACTCATATTAATATGGATCAGTTAAAGGAAAGGCTTCAACTCAGCTCAGTTAAGCTGAATTAGCATTTCCCATTTGAAAAGGAAAAGCTCTAAAACCAGATTTACATAAATATATATAATTATAGCTCTATGAATCTTCATATATAAATTGACTTTACCCCAAATGAAGCACATTCGTTAATCTTCCTATTTTTGCCTTACTTCAACAGGAACTCATCTTCGTATGCTTAAATATGGAAACTCTTGCATGATGTGTATACAAAATACAGCTGAATGTATTCATTTTGTATTCATATATAGAGACACGCTTCAGCGGCAAGAAGAAGAGATCTGTGAGGCTACCTCAGAGCTGCTGCCGTTTGCCAATGTTTCCCAGCATTCTAAGCCGCCAGCCGATTTATCACTGGCCCACAGAGCGCTGAACGTTGAGCGCTGACTACTTGACATATTCATTAAATTTGCCACATTGTTGCAGCAAGGAGGAACAGACAGGCAAGCACACGGAGCTGACAGAATGGCAAAGAGTCTGGAGAGATGGTCATCATTTTGACACCTTAATGCGGTAATTAGGGTTTTCTCAGCATTAACTCAGACAGCGGCAACACCCGGGAACGGCAACGGACCATCCTTAAAAGCCGATCATCATGAGCAAATATTAACACAGCGCAACGACCAAAGGCGATAGCATCGCCAACGAACCAACCGAATCCAATACTTATGAGCAATCGGCCATGGCCAATGACCAATGGCCATTGGGCAACATGCAATGGGCTATGGGCTATGGGCTATGGGCTATGGGCCATGGGCAATGGGCCGTGGACAACGGGCTCTGGACAAATGGGCAACGCCTGCGGTGTGCCGTTAACGGTTTACGCCGAATTGGCTTAAATTTAAAAAAGATTACAGCCAAAGATCATCAACGCCAGCATGCAGGGTGATCTCTCTTGCTTCATGAGATCCTTGCGGTTCGGGTGTGAAGATTATGACACAGCACAAAATATAAAAACACCAGCCAGCATCAGGCAAGGGCGGCCAGGGCGTCAAAGGCCAGGTCAGAACCGGGTCCCAGCAGTCATGCCATGGACGGGGCAGAGGAACCGATCCGAGGAGCAGCAGGCGCTGCAATTAATTTCAAATTTTTTAACAACTCACAATGCGCCGTCGCAGACAGCTGGGCAAGGCGAAACGTAGGAAAAAGAGGCCAAGGGAAAGAGCGGCACAGAGAGTCAGTGTGAGCCACAGAATTGAAGAGAAATTGCAGACAAATTAAGATAAATGAATTGTTTAATTGTTGCATATGGTGGGCATTCATATTGTGGAGCTGCTAATTTACCTTGTAAAGTAAATGGCGAAAGAGCTTATGAGAAGCATTCCATGTCATGTGTTTATGCAAGAAGAAAACGACGACTATATACATATATATATGTATGCACATATCAGCCTATGCATATGGGTATAGAAATACATACTACTAAAATAATTGTCTTCTCTGAAATGATAAAAGTTAACAATAGAAACCATATGTAACTTCGAATTTAAGTCTTGGATAGAGTGAAGAGAAGCAGTAGAGGTGTTCCTCTCGGCAGTGCCTGACTAAGAAATGCCCTTACACAGCAGACATAAAAATTGCATAGAAGAGCCTACTTTATATGGTCTTATTATAGATTTATTATATAGACCTATTCATACATATCTAAATACTATCCTACATAACTATTTATACATACAAATATAAAATATTTATATATCAAAAATATGCATACATGCATACATACATACACACCTTTACCATACATATATATATACATACATACATACATACATACATACATAAATCCATACATACATCCATATATACAAACCTTTACCATACATATATACATTCATATATACATACATACAAAAATACATACATACATACAAACATACATACATACATGCATACATACATACA